CCTCCTCTCAACCCTCCCTTCACCCTCCTCTCAACCCTCCCTTCACCCTCCTCTCAACCCTCCCTTCACCCTCCTCTCAACCCTCCCTTCACCCTCCTCTCAACCCTCCCTTCGCCTCCTCTCAACCCTCCCTCGCCTCCTCTCAACCCTCCCGTCGCCCTCCTCTCAACCCTCCCTTCACCCTCCTCTCAACCCTCCCTTCACCCTCCTCTCAACCCCCTTCGCCTCCTCTCAACCCTCCCTTCGCCCTCCTCTCAACCCTCCCGTCGCCCTCCTCTCAACCCTCCCGTCGCCCTCCTCTCAACCCTCCCGTCGCCCTCCTCTCAACCCTCCCGTCGCCCTCCTCTCAACCCTCCCTTCGCCCTCCTCTCAACCCTCCGTCGCCCTCCTCTCACCCTCCCTTCGCCCTCCTCTCAACCCTCCCTTCGCCCTCCTCTCAACCCTCCCTTCACCCTCCTCTCAACCCTCCCTTCGCCCTCCTCTCAACCTCCCGTCGCCCTCCTCTCAACCCTCCCTTCGCCCTCCTCTCAACCCTCCCGTCGCCCTCCTCTCAACCCTCCCGTCGCCCTCCTCTCAACCCTCCCTTCGCCCTCCTCTCAACCCTCCCTTCGCCCTCCTCTCAACCCTCCCTTCGCCCTCCTCTCAACCCTCCCGTCGCCCTCCTCTCAACCCTCCCTTCGCCCTCCTCTCAACCCTCCCTTCGCCCTCCTCTCAACCCTCCCTTCGCCCTCCTCTCAACCCTCCCGTCGCCCTCCTCTCAACCCTCCCGTCGCCCTCCTCTCAACCCTCCCTTCGCCCTCCTCTCAACCCTCCCGTCGCCCTCCTCTCAACCCTCCCTTCGCCCTCCTCTCAACCCTCCCTTCGCCCTCCTCTCAACCCGCCCGTCGCCCTCCTCTCAACCCTCCCGTCGCCCTCCTCTCAACCCGCCCGTCGCCCTCCTCTCAACCCTCCCTTCGCCCTCCTCTCAACCCTCCCTTCGCCCTCCTCTCAACCCTCCCTTCGCCCTCCTCTCAACCCTCCCTTCGCCCTCCTCTCAACCCTCCCTTCGCCCTCCTCTCAACCCTCCCTTCGCCCTCCTCTCAACCCTCCCTTCACCCTCCTCTCATCCCTCCCTTCACCCTCCTCTCAACCCTCCCTTCACCCTCCTCTCAACCCTCCCTTCACCCTCCTCTCAACCCTCCCGTCGCCCTCCTCTCAACCCGCCCGTCGCCCTCCTCTCAACCCTCCCTTCACCCTCCTCTCAACCCTCCCTTCACCCTCCTCTCAACCCTCCCTTCACCCTCCTCTCAACCCTCCCTTCACCCTCCTCTCAACCCTCCCTTCACCCTCCTCTCAACCCTCCCTTCACCCTCCTCTCAACCCTCCCTTCACCCTCCTCTCAACCCTCCCTTCACCCTCCTCTCAACCCGCCCGTCGCCCTCCTCTCAACCCGCCCGTCGCCCTCCTCTCAACCCGCCCGTCGCCCTCCTCTCAACCCGCCCGTCGCCCTCCTCTCAACCCGCCCGTCGCCCTCCTCTCAACCCTCCCTTCACCCTCCTCTCAACCCCCCTCTCAACCCTCCTCTCAACCCTCCTCTCAACCCGCCCGTCGCCCCCCTCTCAACCTGCCTCAACTCTCAACCTGCCTCAACCTGCCTCAACTCTCAACCTGCCTCAACCTGCCTCAACCTGCCTCAACCTGCCTCAACCTGCCTCAACCTGCCTCAACCTGCCTCAACTCTCTTTACCACCCCACAGGCTTCCCCCCTCGCACCTTTCGCACGCCGCTCATCCTTCCAACTCTTCATTACCTCTCTGCTCTAACCTCCCCTCCCCACCTCCACTGCTTCCCCGTGGTGTCCCGCCCTGCTGCCCTCTGCTGTCCCCTCGCAGCTTGTTCCCGCCACGGCCGTCAGCACATGGCTCTCCCTCTCACCGCCTGCCACCCGCATCTGCTCTCGCACGGGGCAGACCTGGCCGGCGCAGGCGCAGAAGACGGACGAGGATTGCAGATGGCGAGGCGGAGGGGAGCGAGGAGGAGAGGGGGGTCCGTGGAGCGGTGGAGAGTGAGGAGGGGTCAGGAGAAGGAGCTGTGAAGGAAGGGGGTGTGGAAGCTGGTGGAGATAGACGCCAAGGGGTGGTGAGGAATGAGGTGGTGCGAAAGAGTGATGAGAAGGAAGGAGGAGGTGATACGGTACAAGGTGGGGAGTGTGAGAGAAGCAACGGTGTGGACAGGGGCGATGACAGTCAGGCCGATGGAAGTGGGGATGAAAAGAGCTTGGGCTCTGGGCGTGTGCAGCTACAAGGGCTGGACAAGGCAAGGGGGAATGCGGCAATGTTGGGTGAGGGGCAGAGGGGATTGGATCGCCCGGGTGTGGGCAAGGGAGGGCGGGTGCACCCGTTCCATCCGTACGTGCGCGTGACAGGGGGCGTGCTGGGGGAGGAATGTGCAGAGGTGATGAGGGAGTTCTTCAGGGCCAGGCGCAAGCAGCAGGCCGAGGAGAGAAGGGAGCGCAAGGCAAGGGAAGGGCTTGCGGGAAGTTGACGGCCTTTCATCGGATGTACTCCTGTCTGTCTGTTTCACCACGCTGGTCTGAGAAGTGTATTGTGGTGTTGCAACCAAGAGGTCTTTTTCTGTATATGTGATGTGAAACTAGACTGTCAAAAGCATATGGATTAGTGAAGTTCCTGTACTACACGTTAGAATGATCCAAGGTCCAATGACCTCGCCTCCCGAAGCTGACCCGCGTCGCCTTCGGAGTTGGCAACCCTGGACCAGCACCTAACCTCGTCTTCCAAGGTCCCTGCCTAGCTAGCTCCCTCGTTACGGTATATCTTTGCTAGGTCTTGTGTCACTATCAGTAGTTATCACAATTTAGACATTGACTTCCACACACTCTTTCTGTTACAACTCATACCGGTAGCAGGAAGAGAGCAATATGGGAAACGGACCCAAACACAGACGCGTTCTCTGAAACTGCCTCAACCATTTTCGCTCAGATAGCTTGGTTGGCGAACCAACAAATGTCAGGTTACCACGTTTGTCAACCCTTCAACTCCGTCGCTAGGATTTGTAGTCGTTTTGGCGAAACCAGAATTTCGTCTGGCTCAACTTTTGTGGTAACCAGTCACCCTGCGATGGCTTCAGTTTCGCGCATGTAGTAGTGTTTGCGCAAAACCCGAAACCCGCCACGCTGTCTATCCAACCAGAAGCCGAATCTTCCGCACGCACTGGCTTTCCGCAGACCTCGCTCGTGAAGACCCAGTCCTCCCCATATGGGCTCTGTTCTGTAGGCCCTGGCGGTGGGGGAGCGAGATAATAGGTAGCTTCCCTCTCCTTCGTTTTTTGGTTTGGAACGGCTAACCGTCCAGCAAACGGTGCCGAGCCAGTCATTTCCCCTCCGAACCTGTTCGAGGGGAAATGGCTACAGAACAGCCACTTACCCTCTGTGGTTTAGGCTGCAAGGAAACTACCAACTTCCCCTCCGCACCTTCCTTCTCGGGCAAAAATCAAGCCACTCGCCCCGCCCTTCGAAACCCACTTTTTCAGAGCGTGGCGAGAGACATGGGAGGGAGGTACAGGGGGGGGGGACACCCACGTTCTACCCTAGATGGACATGAACCAACGTCGCGCTTAACCCATCCTCTCAAGAACAACCCGCTCGTGAAAAACAAGGCCGAGCCATCTTGCACGACGTGGTTGGGAAAATGGGTTGAAGGTTTGCCTTTAGTTTTTCAAACGCTGAACCCCCCGGCAATGTCTTACACTCCTCATCAGGGTTTATCGAGTCGATGTACCCATGCCTATGGGGCGCGAAATTGAGCAGGTAAATGCGTCATTTACCGTCTGCAATTTCCTTCCCAGCTCCAGAAGTTTCGCGCTTTCGGTTGTAGCGGGGCGGGGCGGGGTAGGGAAACTGCTTAGGAACCCTCGTCATTTACTTTCGCCCTCCCTCTTCCCCCCCACGGCATGTGACTGCAGAACAGAGCCATGATTCCTGCGCTTGGCCCAGAGGCCCCTCCCCCATGTTGGAACTCCCAAACCTATTCCACTCACTTCCAAACCGATTTACAATGATCCCAGCCGGAAATGGCATGAACGAGGGAATTGCAGCGTAGGAGTAGTCGCGTGAGTGGGAAGCTACGAGCTCGAGAGGCGGGAACGACTCAACTTGACAGACCCTGATCGACAGACTTAGCTCGCTATGCTAAAGGCGAGATGCCTGTCTCGTTGCTTGCTGTAGTTTCCCGCTCTGTTCCTCCTTTCCTCGTTGCTTCTACTTCACGCCTTCATCTGGCCCTTCCGAGCCGCGTGTCTCCTCTTGCCTCGTCCTTCCAATGGTAGTCGCTGCATCTGTTTCGGGTCACACGCAAGGACTCGTCAACTAGGGTGATCGTTCGAAGTATAAAGGAAGGCAGTTTCGAAGAATGGCAATCACCACGTGGCAGCAGTCGCCTGTAGCATCTCCGATCTTAGGTCTGCTGCATGCAAGGTGCTTGGTGGTGCAATGTCACAACATTAGTCACCCACAATGCGAAGCAGTGCCGTTTTCATTGCCTGTTGGTAACCGCTCGTTGCTGCTCGGTGCAAACGGTTGAACCCTGTTTACAACAGCCCGTTGCCACTAGATTCGACAAAGTGAAACATGCTGGATCTACTTTCTTCCGCGGCGCTTAGTATGCCCCTTCAATCCGGTATTTTCGGTGGTCAGCCCTCCTTGGCTTCTACACCGTTCGATCCTTCATTGGACAGCTCAGATGTCACGGTCGGCAATGCCACATCCGTGTTTAACCTGACGGCCATCCGTCTGCACAACCGGCCGGCATTCTTCCTCGCGCAGACCGTCATCAACGCCACGCTCTCTCCTGCCTCCCCGCTTCATCCGCTCGCGACAACGATCATTGACGCCGCGTCGCCCCTTCTGGACGGCATTCTTCGTCAATATCTGCACAACGATTTTTTTGCGGGAAGCCTATGGCTCGTCGCGCTCGGGTTCATCAGCCGAACCCTAATGACCTACGTGCAGGTTCTATGGAGCTACGTGATTCGGCGCGGGAATGTCACCATCAGCATCTCTCCCGAAAGCCAGGCATTTCAGTGGTTGGAGGAGTGGCTCGACTCGCACGAGGAGTTAAAGCCGTCGGAATACTCCCTGCAGATTAACTGGAATGACGATGACGGCGCGGATTCGTCTCGTGACAAGCCTGAGCTTCGCTTCATGCCCAAGCTTAAAGCCGCCCAGCACATCACCTTCAGGGGATCAAAAGTTTTCTTCCAAACGAAAAACAGCCCCGGGCAGCTTGACAGCGAAGCAGAATTTTCGGAGCTCATCCGATCAATGAATCAGGAGGAGCTGGTGATCGAAGCTCCCAGCAAGGCCGTGCTACAGGCGGTGCTGCAGGCCGCTACAGACGCAGCCATGGCGAAACTGAAGGCAGAGAAGCTGACAGCCATCCAGCGGTGGAACTGCCGGCAGTTCTGCTGGCGGTGGTCGGCGAACAAGCAGGTCCGTCCGATGTCCAGCGTGGTCCTGGATTGCGACACGTCAGCGCTGCTGGAGGACGCTCGGCAGTTTCTGGCGGGCGCCAAGTGGTACGCAGAGCGCGGCATTCCCCACCGGAGGGGGTATCTGTTCCACGGCCCCCGGGGTGCGGCAAGACGTCGCTCATCCAGGCCATGGCGGGCGAGCTGGGGCTGGGCGTCGCCGTCATCAGCCTCGCATCCTCCGGCATGAGTGATGACTCGGTGAGTGCTGCGAGGGTTGCCGGTAATTCTGTATTATTTGAATGCCTTCATTGTCTTTTTGTTCCCTCTCTCTCCTCGCACTCCCTGTCTTCCACCGCACTCTCTACTCACTCCTGTACTTCCCTACACTCCCCCACTTCCCTGTTGTCTCCCACTCTCCCCCACTCGCCCTGCACGTCGCCACACTCCTCCATTCTCTATGCGCGCCCTTTTCCATCTCATGTTCACTTCTTTCTCCCTCTTCCTAATTCTCATCACCCGTACGCACCCCCCCTTCTCCCCCACTGCAGCTGCACACAGCATCGATCAGCTGCGACCAGTGCAACCTGGTGGTGCTGGAGGACATCGACGCGGCCTTCACTGGATCCTTACATTCCCCCCATCCATCCCGTGTGTGTCTGCCCCCTTCCCCCCCCTCACTGCAGCTGCACACAGCGCTGACCAACTGCGACCAGTGCAACCTGGTGGTGCTGGAGGACATCGACGCCGCCTTCACGGCCACGCGCTCCAAGGCGGACGGCAGCTGTGCGGACAGCCTGTCCTTCTCGGGGCTGCTGAACGCGCTGGACGGCATCGCAGCGCAGGAGAGGCGCATCCTCGTCATGACCACCAACCACATAGACCGCCTCGACCCCGCCCTCATCCGCCCCGGCCGCATCGACTTCCGCCTCCTGCTCGACCGCGCCTCCTCCGCCCAGCTCGCCCGCCTCTTTCTCCGCTTCTTCCCCGACTCGCCTGCTTCGGATGCTGATGGGTTTGCGGCGCTGTTCTGGGAGCGGGCTGTGAGTCCTGCGGCGGTGCAGGGCTTCTTGCTGCTGCATAAGGACAATGCTGCTGCTGCCCTGGCTGCTGCTCCTGCGTTTGCCAAGGAGAGTGGTGCATCTGCTTCTGACTCGGCTGCTGGTGCCCTTTCTGCTGATGTTGCAGCGAGTGATGAGGGTTCTAGTTCGGCTGCCGGTGCTTCCACTGCTGACGTGTATGCCATGGACGCACGCACTTCCAATTCAAGCAGCAGCATGACCGGCAGAACCAGCAGAACCGCAGAAGATCCTAGGGCAGAGACACCTTTGTCAATCAACGGTGCAGATTCTATTGCAGGCGGCGATGAAGCGGGGAAGGGCTGGATTGCAGTGGAGGAAGCAAGTGAAAGTGGCAGTGAGGAGGGAGAGGGGATTGTGAGGCAAGCGAGTGGTTCTGGGGAAAGGGGAAAGTTCTGGGGAGCGAAAAGCAAGAGGTTCTTCTTTAGGCCACAATTCGGGATGAGTGGGTTTGGAAGGGGCGCTTGAGCAGGAGTAACATGAGAAGAGTATTGGCGTGAATGAGAAAAGCAGTTGGGCAAATCAGGGCATAGGATAGGAGGGGGGACTGGATTGGAGCATCCGATCTGCTTTTTTCAGCATGGGATATGTGTGGCATGACGATGCTCCATGGTGCAACATTATGGAGAGCCCATGTTGTTTGGCACGTGTCCGGTAACCTGGGCTGGGACCAGGGCTGAAGTTTCATTTTAAGCCTCCCTGATTCCGGGGAAAAATTTCCCCCTGTATTATGGGTGTACATTTTCCACAGGTAGGCTACTCTGATTGCTCAGTGTTGAAAAGTAGTTAACTCTGATTGCTCAGGGTCGCGAATTGAACATGAATGTAGTAACGCGCACTGTGTTTAACGGGGAAAAAAGTTTCGCCCCGCATGATCCCAACACAACGCGAATCATTTCGTGCACACCTTGTGCGCGTTACTTTCTTACATTTTACTTATGTTAAATTTGTATTTCTCCACACGTTTTAGCGCGGGGAAGAAACGAGCAATTTCGGTCCACCAAACACTTCGGTAAAATAGATGTGCCAATATTTCCTATTCGCTGATTACCCGCGATTCGCCAAATTCATTGTGCGAAACGCAAAAAATGTGTTGGTAACTTCACGCACACGCAATTGTGACAATACAACCGACATCTTCAAATTCTGTGAAACTAACATACGTAGAGTGTATTCACCTGTCAGACATGTTGCCGCGCGCTGGTCACGCTCTGGCTGTACTGCGATCAATCCGAAGGCGGGGTTATCGGAAAGAAAGTTCTGAGAAACTTCGTTCCGACCGATAAGGTCAAATTCAGAGTCCACAGAACGCGTACTCTACATTGACAGAGTCAGTAAGAAAACCACTCTGAGCCTAGATACAATATTTCAGGGTTCGCTAAAGCACTATTCTGAATGGATCAGTGTTCACAAGTCAGAAATTCTGAAATTGCAGGGACCACCAGGTGAGAAGCCTGTAATCACCCTGAAATCAGGGTAATTACCCTGATAAAATCAGCCCTGGCTGGGACACCTGCCCATGTTGCAGCTAACCTACAGCAAATGCATTACCGTATGTTTTTATTGTACCGTATTCCCCTGGATATAAGACCCCCGGAAAACAAGACCCCCGGGTCTATCATACGAGGGTGGGTCTTTTACTTTGGCAGGTTTTGTCAAAATGAGGAATGAGTGATGCATTGATGTTGGTTGGGGTACATATAGCTAACCCTAACTTTTGTACCCCCTAAGACAATCCTCACTATAGGCTACAACATTTGACACACCCCCATAGCCTAAGTGAGGGGTGTCTAGCAGAACCAAAAGAGTACGGTCACAAGACCAGTCCAAGAAACAAAGCTCAGGGTGGATCACAACGTCACCACACACTCTGAGCACAAACACCAGTAACCAAAAGGCCAGTCCAAGATGTAACAGAGATATATAGAAAGCGTACAAGCAAAGTAAACAGTGCACTCAAGTCTAAGCAAGACGAGAACCAGTGTCAACAAGGCCTAACTGCACACAGCACCTCTGGTGGTCACAAGGCGGAAGCGCCTTGGTGAAGATGTCTGCAGTGTTGGCCTCGGACTCCACAAACTCGAAGCGAGCCTGTCCACGTCTCTGCAACTCTCGCAGAAGAAAGTACCTGACGTGAATGTGCTTCACTCTGCTCTCCAGTCGCGGCTCTCGACAAAGGAGAATCGACGCCTTGTTGTCAGTGAACAAGGTCGGTGCAGAGCTCGGCCGCTCACCAAGGTCGGCGAGCAAGAACGTCAACCAACGCAGCTCCTGTGCCGCCATGGCACCAGCGTAGATCTCAGCCTCAGCTGTAGAGGTCGAGACCGAAGAGGAGCGCGTGGACCGCCAGGAAACAGCTCCAGAACCCAGGCTGAAACAGTACCCCTGAGTAGACCTGTGAGTCTCAGCGTCGTCAGCGTAAGAAGAGTCACAGTGACCAGTAAGTACGACAGACTGCTGCCCTCCAAGAACTAGCCCCACGCCTGATGTCGTCGCTAGGTACTTCGCCACCCTCACAGCTGCTGTCCAGTGAACAGGACGGTGTCTCCCTGGTGCAACAAAGCGCGCAAGGACGCTGAGAGGGAAGGCGAGGTCTGGGCGAGTACAAGTCATCAGGTACATGAGGCAACCCACAAGCTCTGCGTAGGGACCACTAGGCTCAAACGGCTCGTCAGGAAAGGGTCTAGTGAGTCTGTGGTCAACAGCAAGAGGTGTGCACTGTACTGTGGAGTGCTGAAGCCCGAACCGCTGAAGGACCTGCTGCACCATGTGTGACTGTGAAAGTGTAATGGTGCGAGCAGCTCTGTCCCTGGTGATCTGCAGGCCAAGGTAGTGGTGCAGCTCACCAAGGTCAGTGCACGTGTGTCTCTTCTGCAGTTCGGACTTCACGTCTGCCAAAGCAACCCTGTCAGCAGTGGCGAAAACGAGGTCGTCGACGTAGACCAGAACAAAGAACGGTGTGGAGCCACGACGAACGAACAGCGACGGGTCGGCAGAAGACGGCTGGAACCCAAGGTCAGAGAGGGTAGAACGCAGAGTGTCGTGCCACTCACGAGGGGCCTGGCGAAGACCGTAGACAGGTCGCCTCAGCCTCCACTGGGTCCCAGGAGGGAAGGTGCCAGTGAAGGCAGAGGGACGACGCAGCCAGACCTCCTCGTGTAGGCTGCCCTGAAGGAAAGCAGTGGAGAAGTCGAGAGAGTGTAACTCGTAGTCTCTCTGTGCTGCTACGTGTAGTAACACCCGAAGAGTGGTCATCTTCGGGGTAGGCGCGAAGGTCTGAAAGAAGTCAACTCCCTCGCGCTGACTGAAACCTCTAGCCACGTAGCGCGCCTTGAAGACCGGGGGAGATCCCGGTGGCCGCTTCACCCTGTAGATCCACATGCCGTCGACTACGTTCGCCCCAGGGGGGGGAACCTCATCGACGTAGGTGCCTGTGGATCTGTAGGAGGCCATCTCTGCGTCCATGGCAGCTCTCCACTGAGAGGCCCAAGGCCCTAACACTGCCTCAGCGTAAGTGCGAGGAGTCGGAATGTCAAGGGCGTCGGGGTCACCCTCAGGGGCGAGGAGCATGGCACAGAGATGAGGGGAAGCGGCTGCCAGGAACTCTAGCTCAAACTGCCTGTCCTCTAGGGCGTCACAGCCAAGGGCAGACACACCCCCGACGGCCAGAGGACTGGAAGGAGGAGCAGCCACAAGACCGGTGGCGAAGTCAAGGCGGCGGGTAGAGGCAAAGTCAGTGACTGCGGCAGTAAGAGCGGACACAGAGGACACAGAGGCACGAGGGTGAGTAACAAGAGAGGCGAGAACACGAGAGAGAACAAGACAGTACGTGCGGTAGTAGTCAGTGACAGGAGTAGGGAGCGACGCAGTGAGGGCCGACTCAGGAGGAGACGGAAGCACAGACGGAGACGGACGAGGTGGACTAGAACGAAGTAAGGCAGTACGAAGGTCAGTGAAGGGAACAGGAGACGAGGGACGAGCACGAGGGGAGCGACGAGAGGCCCAAGTCTGAGAAGGAGGAGGGGACAACGAAGACTGAGAACGAGGGAAAACAGCGGGAGAGGGGTCAGGAGGAGGAAGCGGAGGACCAGAGACGGGAGGAGAGGGGGAGGAGGAAGGAGAGCGAGAGGGGAGACCAAGGGTCCGAAGACCCGAGACAGGAGGAGGAGGCGGCTGCTGCTGCTGCTGGGGCTGCTACGGTTGCTGCTACTGCTGCTGCTGCTGCTGCTGCTGCTGCTGCTGCTGCTGCTGCTGCTGCTGCTGCTGCTGCTGCTGCTGCTGCTGCTGCTGCTGCTGCTGCTGCTGCTGCTGCTGCTGCTTCTTCTGCTGCTGCTGCTGCTGCTGCTGCTGCTGCTGCTGCTGCGGCTGCTGCTGCTGCTGCTCCTCCTGCTGCTGCTGTCGCTCCTGCTCCTCGAGCCGCTGCAACTCTCGCTCCTCTCTCTCCAACTCCAGCTGCTCCTCACGAGCACGGCGAACACGAGCCTGGAACCTGGTCGGGTAGGGGTGGGGGGTAGTAGTAGTGGTCGGGGCAGCGGCAGCCCCAGAGTCCACCTCCGAAGCACTAGGCAGGTGCACCACCCCCAGAGTCAGCACCAACACAAGCTCCAGACCCAGGCGCACAAGAGTCCTCTGCAACCCGCGGCTCAGCTCCAACTCCAGCACCCCCAGAACCAGAAACCGGTACAGGAACCGGCTCAGTACCAACCTCTCAAGAGGGAGCACCTGCAGGACGCGGCGAGGAAGACTGTGGGGAGGGAGGCTGTACAGGGGGGGCTACCGAAGGGGGAGGGCTAGCCTGAGACACACCAGACGGGGCTGGACCAGGGGGGGAGGCTGTACCGGGGGAGCAGGAGGGGGAGCGGCAGTCAGGAAGAGGGGGGGAGGAGGAACCAGGAGACCTCGACTGGGGTACCTGACGTAGTAGGGGGTGGACTCCTCGAAACGGACGTCACGGGAGTCAAAGAACCGGTGAGAGGGAGGGTGGTAAAAGGTGAAGTCAGAGGAGTCCTCAGGGAAACCAAGGAAGACACAAGGAACGGCGCGAGGCGAGAGCTTGTCCGCGGAGGTGTCGCGGACAAGAGCCAAGCACCCCCAGACACGAAACCTCGACGCAACACCAGGGGACCCGGTCCAAAGACTGGTCGGTGAAGCCTCTGGCCGAGAGACGCGTGGCCAGAGGTTCAGCTGGTGCGCGGCGTACCTGACCGCGTAGGGCCACAGGAAATGGGGGGCACGGGCGTGAGTCAGGGAGGTGCGGGCGATCTCCATGACCAGGCCTATGCGGCGCTCAGCAACCCCATTCTACTGTGGGGACTCTGGAAGCGTCCAGGACTGACGAATGCCCTGCTCGCGACAGAATCCAGCAAGAATGCCGGAGCGAAACTCACCCCCGCGGTCGGAGTGGAGACAGCTGACACGACGACCACGAGTGTCCTGCGTGGTAAGCAACCACCTGATCAGCGTAGAAG